TTAATTTCTTTCTTTAAAGACTCAAAGTTCTTATTATATAGGTCTTTGACTTGTTTGGTAAGCATTATCCCCCCCAAGATATTTTATGTTGTTTGTGGCTATTGTAAAGTTTGATGTTTCTCTGATTTCTTTCTCAGCCCCTTTATCATCTGTATATATTAGGGCTACAGATTTATTTTTTTTTCATTAATCTTGTATCCTGCCACTTTGCTGAAGGTGTTTATCAGCTCTAGGAGTTCCCTGGGTCACTTATGTAAACTTATCATATCATCTGCAAATAGTGAAAGTTTGACTTCTTCCTTTCCAATTTGTATCTCCTTGATCTCCTTTTGTTGTCTTATTGCTTTAGCTAGAACTTCAAGTACAATATTGAAGAGATATGGAGAGAGAGAGCAGCCTTGTCTTGTTTCTAATTTTAGAGGAATCTCATTGACTTTCTCTCCATTTAGTTGATGTGTGGCTTGGGTACCAAGGTAATTGTAGCTTCATAAAAAGTTTGGCAATAGCCCTTCTGCTTCAATTGTATGGAACACTTTGAGGAGTTTTAGTATTAGCTGTTCTTCAAATTTCTGGTAGAATTCTGCACTGAAACTATCTGACCCTGGGCTTTGTTTTTGGTTGGGAGACTTTTGATGACTGCTTCAATTTCATTAGGGGTTACAGGTCTATTTAAATTGCTTATTTGGTCTTGATTTAATTTTGGTAAGTGATATCTATTCAGAAAATTGTTCATTTTCATTAAATTTTTGAATTTTATGGAGTGCAGGTTTTCAAAGTATGATCTGAAGATTCTCTGTTTTTCCTCTGTGTCCGTTGTTATGTTTCCCTTTTTTATTTCTGATTTTGTTAATTTGCATGTTCTCTCTCTGTTGGTTAGTTTGGATAAAGATTTGTCTATCTTGTTGATTTTCTGGAAGAACCAACTCTTTGTTACATTGATTCTTTGTATTGTTTTCCTAGTTTGTACATTATTTATTTCAGCCCTCAAACTGATTATTTCCTGGTGTCTACTCCTCTGGGATGAGTTTGCTTCTTTTTGTTCTAGAGCTTTCAATTGTCCTGTTAATTCTCTAGTGTGACTATTCTCCCATTTCTTCATTTGGGCCCTTAGGGCTATGAGCATCTTTTCTTAGCACTGCTTTTAAAGTGTCCCGTAAGTTTGGGTTTGTTGTATCTTCATTCTCATTGAATTCTAAGAAATCTTTAATTTCTTTCTTTATTTTTTCCTTGTGCATTGTTCAATTTCCATGAGTTTATAGGTTTTCTGAAGTTTGTATTGTTAAATTCTAACTTTAAAGCATGGTGATCTGATAAGATACAGGGGTTAGTTACTTCAATTTTTTTTGTACCTATTGAGATTTACTATATTGTCAAATATGTGGTTGATTTTAGAGAAGGCTCCATGTGGCCCTGAGAAGAAGGTATATTCTTTTGTGTTTGGATGGAATGTTCTACAAATGTCTGTAGTTCCTGATCATTTGCCTAACTTCTCTATTTCCAGCATTCTCTCAGACTGTGTTTTTCTTGTCTCTATTTCAGCTTTCAAACCTTGCACTGTTTGAATTGTTTCTTGTAATTTTTGGTTTGTCTTTTCCTCCATTTCTTGAATTTTTTCTTCCATTCCTTTAAGGGATTTTCTCATTACCTCTTTGAGGGTCTCTATCATTGTCATAAAGTTGTTTTTTAGGGTTGTTCTCTTCTGCTTCATCTGTATTGGGATGTTCAGGTCTTGCTCATGTGGAGTCCCTAGACTCTGGTAGTGTCATATTGATCATTCAGTTGTTGACTGTGTTCCTATACTGTCATATACCCATCTCTTCTTCCAGTGTGTCTCTTTCTCTTCTAGTAGGTACGGGACCAAAGTTCTCTTCTGGTGGGTGCAAGCAGTTTCAATACTCTGATGGCTCTCCTACTTCAGGGGGTGGTGTTGGGACTCCTCCCGTGGTTAGAGGCTGTTCCAGGATGCTGACAGACTCCAGGTGGGCTGGTCTGCTAGGGCAGTGGGCTCCCCTGCATGTAGTCTCCTCAGGATGCTCCTAGCAGCTATTATCTTATCTTTGAAATTAAGTAGTTTGCCATGAGATATTTTGACATGATTTAACTGACGTAACTTTTTGTGATACCTATTCCCTAAAATACCCTCAATTAGGACTGTTCTAACTGACATTTTTTTCCTGTGTTTATGATTTTGGGCAGCTTGTGGGGTGAGGGTGGGGGGAAAGAGATTTTCATCCTTGTTTATAGCACAATGAACTGATGCATTTTAAGTTTATTGTATGCATTATTATATCTATTAATTTGTAGGTTTTTAAAAATTGATGCCAAAAATAAGCTTTCCTGGATTTGACAAGTATGATTCATCAAGTTAATGTCTGTGAAATATTCCTGTCATTCTTTGCATATTCTTGCATTCTAGCATGATAACGAGTTAATCTTTTCTCTGTTCATTTTTATATCCACTACTTTTCCAAAAAAAATTAATTTACTTTTGAGTCACAATTCTGTTCATAAGCCAACACCTAGATCTTGGATGTTCTATCGCTATAATAAGGTCCTGTCATCAGTAGTGCATTGAATAGAATTTCTGATTACTCATTGAGACATTCAGAGAGCTTTTTGTGCTTTAAAAGACAAATACCCTTAATTTATGAAAACTAGGAAGTAATTTCACAAATGGAAAAAACATGTATTTTAGAACTCTTAGAATATATTTCTGTTGAATATTATATATTACAGCCATTTACAAAGAAAATCTTTGACATACTTGACATACTAGGATTGAGGGAGAAAGAGGAATAAAAATCTTCATTTTTATGAGATCTTTGAAAATATTTTGAAGGACATGTTATTTGCTTTTGAAGTCTTTAAAAGTTTGATATAATTGCATCTTTGGGACATTATCCCTGAAGAATGAGAAGTTTCAAACCTCTGCATATTATTGCTGCTGAACTTTAAATTGTTCAGGGATCAAAAGTATTCCCCCCAAACAACAAGTGATTTAAACTTACATAGTACTGCAGTTCTGATCCTTTGGTAGTTTTGGTTATGTTGGTAACAGCTGGTCATTTTGAAAAAAATTAATTGCATAACTGATTTTTCTGTAACATTTCACATTTTAAACATGGATACATTCATTCTTCTTTGCACACAACTTACCATAACTAATTGATGGAGTATATCATAAAATGTTTTTACTTGGAGTTTATAGGATGGAATTCAGGTGGCAGAACCATTTTCCATTGTTTTCCATTGGCTACTATTTCTGTGCAGAATAAAAAGATCAAATTCTGAGCACCCAAGTTATTGTTGGTCTTAACAGCCATACACATTTTTTTTCTTTAAAGTAACTTTTTATAATAATTTACTTGATAGGGAGTTTGTAGAAAAATCCACAAGAAATAATTTGTTAACCAATGCAATAATCAAGTATTATTGATGGAAGATAATATTAAGAAGAGAAGCAAAAACTATGTTTGGTTAGCATAAAAAGGAGAAATTCTGAAGCTTTTTGTTTGTTTGTTTTTGTTTGTTCTGGGATACTAAAGCTACATTCAGTGTTACTGACAGTGTTTTGACCTTCAGTGTACGCTGCTTAGGAATTAATTAGTAAAACAGAAAAGTAAATGGAAGCACTTGTTAATTGGATAGAAATGAGTAGCAGTGGAGGGAGAAGGCAGAGGTCATGTAATGTGATGGAACACTGTACCTCTCTGTCATCAATACAATAAGACATTGTCGTGTTGTTACTGTGTTCACCGTCTCTGTTGATGTCAACTTTCTAAAGGTGGAGAATGAGCAGAAGACTCCAGTGACTGAAACCACAAAACAAGGAAAAGAAATGAAGCCTGAATAATTGCATCATTAACCATCTGATGGGTGGATTTTTCTGTGAAAGAAAGTGAAGAGATAGCAGTATGCATATACCAGGATATCAGTGAAGGGAACATTTAAGAGCATGTCTGTTTGAAGAAAGATTGAAAAGAATCAGAAGGGAAAGAAAAAGTTTGGATGTGATAATGAGCAATGTAAGTGCAAAAGCAAGATTTTTTTTTGTAATAATTTTTGATAACATGGAAAAAATAAAATACAAAGTCTCCTTTTTTTTAACTGTATCATCTTTAATCCTATTTTCAAAGAACTTTTAAATACATTTTCTAAAGGACTTTAATTTCTATATTTCCTAGAAATTCATGGATTTTAATACATAGTAAGAGAATTACCTATGAAAATTCTTACAACTTTTTAAATATGAGGTATGGGGCTCAATACTGGAGGAAACTGTAATGGATATGTCAGTATTTAAATGAGGTGGGATATTTTTATTTCACTTATAAAATGGTTCTCAAATGTAACCACAATGCTTTAAACAATGTCATCCTTTTGAAGCACATTTTATAAGTTGTTAACTAGACAGAGTTCTTTCTCCATTCCTCTCCTCATCGCCTCTCTTTCCCTCCCCTTCCCTTCTCTTCCTCCTCTTCCTCATAGAGTTTGTTTTAAATTTCATTCGTTCCTGTCAACATTCCTTTGTTCATCCCTGGTTTTTAGTATGAGCTGTCACTTCTTCAAGTCTGTCAACTACTTTTCTAAATTGTGTTCAATCTGTAAAGTTCAAAATGGACTTATCCAATGTCCATTTACATTTTTCTTCATTTTGTCACTTTGACACCTTTATTGAAAACCTACTGTTCCAAGGACAGGATTATGGGCTGACAAAATATTTAATTGGCTTTTTGCTTTCTGATTGTTTTCTAAATCTTATTGTGGAGTAATCAAATTGATCCTGTCCTTCTCCCTTAGATTAAAAAAAAAAAATACACTGTCCTGAAATTGTGTGTGTGTGTTTGTGTGTGTGTGTGTGTCGGGGGTGAAGTTGTGTTTATAACTAAGTCTGAAAGCACTTTCTTAGCTAAATGAACATACTTTTATTTACATTCCTCAGATGAAATGAAGAGACTCTTACTAGAATAACTATTGGTGGCTGTCGTGCTAGGAAGGAAATGCAAGGAGAAAATTCCACTGTTTGGAGTTTTTTTTTTCCTGGAGGGATTTTCCCGGTACCCACGGTTAGAGATTGTTCTGTTTGTCTTCAGCCTTGTAATGTATTTGGTTACCATCCTGGGTAATAGTACCCTTATTTTAATCACTGTCCTGGATTCGCACCTTCAAACCCCCATGTACTTGTTTCTTGGAAACCTCTCTTTCATGGATATCTGTTACACATCTGCTTCCATTCCTACTTTGCTTGTGAACTTGCTGTCATCCAAGAAAACCATTATCTTTTCTGGGTGTGTGGTACAGATGTACCTGTCCCTTTCCATGGGATCCACAGAGTGCATACTTCTGGCTGTGATGGCCTATGACCGTTATGTGGCCATCTGCAATCCTCTGAGGTACCCTATCATCATGAACAGGCAAGTCTGTGTGCAGATGGCCACTGTCTCCTGGGTGACAGGCTGTCTGACTGCCCTCCTGGAAACAAGTTTTGCCCTGAAGGTTCCCCTGTGTGGGAATGTCATTGATCACTTCACATGTGAAATTCTTGCAGTGTTAAAATTAGCTTGCATGAGTTCGGTACTCATGGACATGATTATGCTGGTGGTCAGTATTCTCCTTCTGCCCATCCCAATGCTCTTGATTTGCATTTCTTATGGCTTCATCCTTTCCACAATTCTGAGAATCAGTTCAACAGAGGGAAGAAACAAAGCTTTTTCAACTTGTGGTGCACACTTGACTGTGGTAATCTTATATTATGGGGCTGCTCTCTCCATGTACCTGAAGCCTTCTTCATCAAACTCACAACAAATAGACAAAATCATCTCATTGCTTTATGGAGTGCTTACCCCTATGTTGAACCCAATAATTTATAGCTTAAGAAACAAAGAAGTAAAAGATGCTGTGAAAAAACTACTGGGCAAAGTGCCATTGGCACCAAGCATATGACTATCTTTGATTGGGTCCCTGTGACCTTCCCAAGGATGTGCCATTGTCAGAACTCAGCAGAGAAATTCTAAACACCATTCAGCTCTTTCAGACTCTGGCCTGAATATTAGCTCTGCAATTTCACAGTCATGAGGTATTTGTTCACAGAGAAATTTATTATGGATGTAGGAGGTCCCAAGGTTCACTTACTAATATTTCTTGTCTTTGGTATGACATCAATTCAGTCACTGAGCACTTTCTCCAAAAGCAAACTTAGATAAATGTTGTCAGTGAATCTGAGTACCAGAAGAAATATCTTCTTTATTTGAATTCCTAGGGTAGGAGCCTAAAGATATAAACCAAAGAATTAAAGGAATATTAAAAAATATTGGCATTGATGACGGAAGCAAGGAAATGAACTCAAGGGGGGGGGAAAAAAAGGCTTGGTCAATACCATATTTTGCAGGCTTTAATGACAGTGTTCTTTTGACTTTTTGTCAGAGCTTATTCTCTTCCATGGTGGTAGCTTCTTAAATGCTGATTAAAACTCCCTGTCTTCCTGAGTAAGGATCTCATAAGGCCTGCTTTACACCCACCCACCAACTTTGCTTTTTCTAAGCACTTCTATTCCTGTGACATCATACTTTTTATATGTTAAGTCTTTTTCACTCATTCATTGCATGTTTCCTTCTTTCGATGACTGACTTCACAATGGCTGACAATGAAGCATTTGTTCTAGAAATAATAACATTTTTTTCTTTACCTCATCCACTCCAGTCTAATTGTACAAACACTCCCTGGTGCCTTAAATGGCATTTTTGAAGTGGAATTTTAGAGTAGGCTTTCATTAGACTGGTGCTGAATTTACCTTTAGGATAAAACCGAATTGTCTGCTCTCTGGGACTTGTTGCAATTGTGCTAACTATAAACAGTAATAAAGACACAGGGACAGATGAAATCTCAACTGAAAGCATGATCCTGAAGAACCCAGAGGTGCAGTGGTGGAGTAGCCCCAAGTAATGCATGTGTTTCGCTCCAAGGAGGTGAGCACATTGACATGGAACCAGGCCTTCCGGATGGCATATAACCAGAAGAGGGACCATGGGAGAAACCTGGCAGGAGTCTCTTTAGCAGAGCTCACCTAAGGCGTTGGTGATTCTAGCCCCATGTTTCATAAAGTTGCTGTGAATAATAAATAAAATACAGGCATACTTTACAGGTTGTATGTGTTACTGATGTTAACTATTGGCAAATGGTACATTCTTTCCTTGGGTTAGGTTCTATCCCAGCAACACTAGTTCAACTGTTGCTTTTATGGAGTCTTGGGTAAGGGATGTCTTCAAGCATTGTAAAAAGAGAGAAATATTTGGCAGAGAGAGGGTAGAATGACCTCTAATAGAGTCAATGCTTTCATGAGTGATGACGTCCAGATTTATGCTTTAGAAAATTCTGGTCATGTCCCTTCTCTACCCATTGACTTAATACTAGAAATCCTTATGATGACATGCAAAGGTTTCCATAACTGATTGCTTACCATTCACATCCTTTCCTTCAGGAATACTCAAACTCTCTTAGTGTAACCTGTGTATATTTTCTCCTGGTTAAGGCCCAGTTGCCACAACACTTGCCATGCAAACACAAAGAAATGAACATAGTCTCCAGGGCTTATGCGGAAAAGGAAGTCTTACAGTCTCAGAATGTCTCTTTGATGGCTATTAGTAGTTGAGTGGTGATAAGAAGGGTATCTAGCTAGACTTTTAAAAATAAAGTTGCTATCATTTTTTACCATGGATTTATTTATTTATTTATTTTATATAACCAAGTCCATTTAAATGAAAACAAACATTTATAGACAATATTTGGGAATTTGGGCGTCGTTCCTTCCAAACTACTTCCTGCTGGTAATGGGCGCTGTCATCAGGGATTCTAAGAAGATGCAGAAATCCTGGCTGTAGTCTGTAGGGTTGCTTTGTCCAGCTGTTTTGAATGTAGGATCACCTAGTACTCTGTTTCAGGCGGTCTGGCTTGATCAAACCACATTATTCTGGAAGGAATCCACAGCTATTCATTTTCTGTGGAAGCAAAAATAGAAATCCTTTTCCCCAGTAACTTGTCCTTGAACTTAAATTATGGAGTCAAAGCATTTTTTATTTAATTTATTATATTACATGTCGATCCCAGTTCCCTCTCCCTCCCTCTCACCCTCCTTCCCTCCCTTTAACCCTCTCTGCCCTCTCACATGCACCCTAACCACCCTCCCCCTCCCATCACCCCACCCCAATTCCATATGTAGGGGAATGCCATCCAGTTGGGGTCATGTAGATCTGACAGGTCATGTGAAGTAGGGACTAGGGCTTCTCTCCTGTCTCTAGATTAAGGCAGTTATCCCTCCATGGGGGATGTGTTCACAAGGTCCTTTTGTGCACCAGGGATACAGCCTGGCTCCACTGTCTGAGGTCCCTTAGACTGCTCAGTCCTTCTGGCTGAGACCCATATTCGGGGGGGGGGCTGAGTCAGTCCCATGCTGGATTCCCAGCTATCAGTCTGGGGTCCGTTAGTTCCTCCTTGTTCAGGTCAGCTGTCTCAATGTGTTTCTGCAGCCTGGTCTTGTCCACTTCATCTGCATCTGGGTTCTAGTTTGACTCAGTGTTTATGTATGGGTGTTTGCTCCTGTTTCCAACAGGTATTAGATGAGGGCTCCATGGATAAGTTAGTTGTTGATCTCACTCTCCGGAAAGGGCATTTATGGTAGCCTTTCCACGGATGCTCAAATTGTTAGTTGGGAGCAGTCTTGTAGTTCTCTAGACCTTCCTTTGTGTTCACTTTTATCTTCAAACCTGATGGGAGATGCCATTATGTATATATGTTTCTCATACTGGTTAATAATAAAGCACTGTTGGCCAATAGGAAAGGAAGATAGGAGGGACTAGGAGACAAGGAGGAAATAGGAAGTAGGAAGGAGGAGTCAAGATGGAGAGTCTGGAGAAAGCAGTATGCCTCCGGCTCCCCGGTAAGAGAAATACATAGATCAGCAGAAATGGGTTAATAATTAAGGCAGAGCTAGCCGATAAGAAACAAGTAACAGGGCCAACAGCATTGTATCAAATACAGAGTCTCTGTGTATTATTTGGGGCCGGCGTGGCGGCGGGACAAGACCAGCGGCGGCAGGCGGAAAAACCGTACGCCTTACACAAACCAATATTGGTTCCCTCTTTTATGTCTCTCTCTCTCTCTCTCTCTCTCTCTCTCTCTCTCTCTCTCTCTCTCTCTCTCTCTCTCTCTCCTGTCTTTTATTCCTAACCAGGCTCAAACTTCCTAGTTGCACATGTTTTCCTTTTCTCCCCCTCGTTTTCTCCTACTTCTATCTCCATTCATTGCTCCCCCCACTTCCCCTGTGCTCTGGGGGACTTGTCCCTTCCCGGTTGTGTGAGGGACTTTATATGAATCTCTTAGAATACACCTTGTATCCTAGTTCTTCTGGTGGTGTGAATTATAGGCTGGTGATCCTTTGCTCTAGGTCTAAAATCCATATATGAGTGAGTACATACTATGTTCCTCTTTTTGTGACTGGGTTACCTCATTCAGGATGGTTTCTTCAAGTGCCATCCACTTGCCTGCGAATTTCAAGATACCATTATTTTTTTCTGCAGAGTAGTAGTCCATTGTGTAGATGTGCCACATCTTCATTATCCATTCTTCAGTTGAGGGGCATCTAGGTTGCTTCCAGATTCTTGCTATTACAAATAATGCTGCTATGAACATAGTTGAGCACATGTCTTTGTTGCATGGATGTGGATCACTTGGGTATATGCCTAAGAGGGGGATTGCCGGGTCCTGTGGTAAACTAATTCCTATTATCCTGAGGAACTGCCATACTGATCTCCAAAATGGCTGTACGAGTTTGCACTCCCACCAGCAGTGGAGGAGTGTTCCCCTTTCTCCACATCCTCTCTAGCATGAGTCCTCATTGGTGTTTCTAATTTTAGCCATTCTGGCAGGAGTAAGATGGTATCTCAAAGTTGTTTTGATTTGCATTTCCCTGATAGCTAAGGATGTGGAGCACTTTCTTAAGTGTCTTTCAGCTTTTTGCTTTCCTCTATTGAGAATTTTCTCTTCAGTTCTGTACCCCATTTTTTAAGAGCGTTATTTGGTGTTTTGTTGACTAGTTTCTTGAGTTCTTTGTATATTTTGGAGATTAGCCCTTTGTCAGACATAGGATTGATGAAAATCTTTTCCCAGTCTGTGGTCTGCCATTTGGTCTTCTCCACTTTGTCATTTGCCTTACAGAAACTTCTAAGTTTGAGGACGTCCCATTTATTAATTGTTACTCTCAGTGTCTGTGCCTCTGGAGTTATGTTCAGGAAGCAATCTCCTATACCAATTTGTTCAAGGGTACCTCCTACTTTCTGTTCTAAGAGGTTCAATGTGGCTGGATTGATGTTGAGGTCTTTGATCCATTTGGACTTGAGTTTTGTGCATGGCAACAGACATGGGTCTATCTTCAGTCTTCTACACACCCTCATCCAATTGTGCCAGCACCATTTGTTGAAGATGTTGTCCTTGCCCCATTGTATAATTCTAGCTGTTTTGTCGAAAATCAGGTTTTCATAGGTGTGTGGGTTAATATCAGGATTTTCAATTCAATTCCATTGGTCTACCTGTCTATTTTTGTGCCAATACCAGGCTGTTTTCAGAACTATAGCTCTGTAGTAGAGCTTCAAGTCAGGAATGGTGATGCCTCCTGAAGTTCTTTTATTGCATAGGGTTGTTTTGGCTATCCTGGGTCTTTTGTTTTTCCATATAAAGTTGAGGATTGTTCTTTCAAGGTCTGTGAAGAATTGTGATGGGATTTTAATGGGGATTGCATTGAATCTATAGATTGGTTTTGGCAAGATTGCCATTTTTACTGTTTATCCTACCTATCCTAGAGCATGGGAGATCTTTCCATTTTCTGGTATCTTCTTTAATTTCTTTCTTTAGAGCCACAAAGTTCTTATTATATAGGTCTTTTACTTGTTTGGTAAGCGTTACACCAAGATACTTTATGTTGCTTGTGGCTATTGTAAAGGGTGATGTTTCTCTGATTTCTTTCTCTGTCTCTTTGTCGTCTGAAAAAAGTAGGGCTACTGATTTTTTTGAGTTTATCTTGTATCCTGCTAGTTTGCTGAAGGTGTTTATCAGCTGTAGGAGTTCCCTGGTAGAGTTTATTGGGTCGCTTATGTAAACTATCATATCAT